ATATGTGCACCAAGTTTGTGTCTTTTCTGTTTCCTCCTGCACCAGACCCTCCCCCTATGACCCTCCATATGGCTAAAAGTGTGAGCTGGGGGAGGGTCTGGTGCAACTGTTTTGGGTGACATGGGAGTTTGAACTACCTGCTCATGAGCTTGTCATGCCCTGACCTGCTCAGGCTTGATCCTAGATGTATGTTTTCATCATTTGATGGGTTGCTGCTAGGCCTGACTGACTTTATGACTTCCGACTTTATGAAAGAATTCAGCTCATAAAGGGATGTTTTGAACTCATAGTTATTGGGTGCTCTATGCAGAAGCATTTTGTATCTAACAGAGCTCAATTATTAATATGCTCCAATTCAGGACCTCCAAGARACCATCAGAGACCAGGATTGATGTAAGCAGCAAAGAGGTGTTTATTTTGAGCTAGCTTGGTTCTCCACACGCTGACAGCAACTGGTGATGCTGAGAGACCCAGAGCCCAGGGTTTGCAGCAGTTTTATACAGTCTTTGGGGAAGGCAGGGACTTCACATACATCACAGCATCTGTTAGCAAATCATCACACATCGCGGAAAAATCAAACAACAACTCTTAACATTGATTAGCACATTCACTGGTGGGAACAAGTTGGGTAAGGGTGATTGGTTAGTRCAAGAGGGGGATTCGTTTGAACTGATTGGTTTAAGCCACGAAGGGAGTACATGCTGAATTACATGGTTTCCCAACATGTTATCAACCACCATAAACTACTGGGAGGGTCATTTGGCATCCCAGGTATTTTCCCCGTCTCATGATGATAGGTGGTTGCTAGGGGGTTGCTATAGGTCCTCACCTAGCCTGACTGAGTCAGGGACACCTGGCTCTGCAGATCTCTCCTGTTATTTATAGATAAACAACTCAGCAGGGTGGGTGTGTGCCTAGGAGTGCTCCGTGGGCTTTTCCAAGGACAAGGGCCACGCCCCGTTCCTTGGACAGGCTTTGCTCTGAGGTAGAGGCTGGTTTCTCATTACATACTAGGAGCTGTTTCTCCAAAAGCCTATAATTCTCTGCTGCAGATCATGGCCTTGCTCCAGAATCCCAGGAGGATGTATTATGCTTCTTCCGCTGGGGCTCCCCATAAACTCCACCTCTCATCTTTCTCTTTTACTATAACATCTGACACCTAAGAGTCTGTTGGACTCTGGCCCAAGTGGCAAGGCTTATTGCCTTGTAGTCTGGACCTGTTATGAAGCCTTTTCTTGCTCCAGGAACTACTTTACACCGGCACTTTGCAGTGTCACCCAGTAAATGAGTTGGAGCAGTATGTCTAGGTATGACAAATGTTGCCTCCAGCAAGAAAGCCTAGAAGGAACTTTGCTTCCTCTTTTGAGGTAGAAGATACAAAATGAAGCAATTTGTTATCTACATTAGAAAGACTATCCTGCCATCCCCCTGGCCCCGAAGACATCACTCAAGCTCACTTCACTAAATCTTTGAAGGGTTTATCTCTCACTCTGTTACTGAGACCTCCAGCACCTAAGACACTTCTTATTTGTCCTGCCTAATCAGCATGATGCCATTAATGTAATGGATTGGTAAGATGTTCTGTGGGATGTCTCAGGTTTATATCTCTTTGGACTGCATTACGGGAGAGGGCAGGAAAGTTAATACAGCTCTGAGGCCAAGATGAAAATGAATATCGTCTCACACGAATGTGAACTGTTTCTGATCTTTCATAATCAGAATTGAGAAGAATGAATTTGCTAAATGAGTGGCTGCACAGCATATGCCCAAGGGCTTATTAATTGTTTTAGCAATGATACCCCGTCTGGCATAGCAGCTGTGATTTGGTTTCTAGGTGGATGAATTTGAGATAATCTATGATTATTTTTCAGGATCCATCTGGTTTCTGCAGGATCCAGACTAATGAATTAAACCGGTACTTGAGAAGAACTTCCACCCCTGTATCCTTTAGATCTGTAATGGCATTTATATCCTCCTCCAACCTGGGATATCATATTTTTCCTTACTATCTTTGCTTGGGCTGGGGGCACTTCAGAGGCTCGATCTTGCCCATTATGATAGCTGCTATCCCATAAGCCAAGGATCCAATGTAGGGTGACTTCAACTGTCAAGTATGTTGATTCTAGTTATACACAGGGTCTGTGAAAATGCTCGCTGTATGGGTCTGGGGACACAGTGGTCCCATGGTAAGCATGACTTTAGCAAAGACTCCATTTATAACCTGGCCCCCTTAAGCTCCCACTGTAACAGGAGGCTGTAATCATGCTTTAAATCTTTGGATATCAGAATTTACCCAGACCTGGTCCAGTAGTCATGAAAATTGGCATTTCCCTTTCTCCAGCTGTTGGTCTTTCCCCAGCTGTGGGTCTCTTTTGGAGAAAAGATTGGGAATTCATTACAGTGTATGTGTTTCAGTGTTATAAGGTATTTCCTTGTAGGGACCTGGCCCTCCTTTTCCATCAATGGGATGGATAGTGCCGTGTGTGTGTGTGTGTGTGTGTGTGTGTGTGGGTGTGAGAGAGAGAGAGAGAGAGAGAGAGAGAGAGAGAGAGAGAGAGAAAGAGAGAGAGAGATATGCAGGGGACTAAACCCAGGCCTGACACATGGTAGGAAGCACTCTACCTCCAAGCTACATCCCCATCCGGGATTGTGACTCTCTATTAGGGTGACTGCCCTCAGCCTTTGCTTACTGTTTTTTGGTTGGTTGGTTTTTGTTTGTAGAAATTAGGTGGGGCTTTATTGGCTGCCTATCTATTTTGACCTTAGTGATGATATGCTCACATTAACCTCTATGACTTCATTTTAACCATAATCTAATCTCCGAGGGTTGTGAGTAATCCAGTCCCAAATCCTCATYTTACCGTTTGCTTTCTTAGACTGCTCTTGGTTGAACTTGCATTACTTCACACCTCCCAAGAAGCTGACACAAAACCAGAATTAGACATATTAGAGATTTATTAGTAGAGGGAGAAGAAGGCAGGGAGAGGCTTTGGTTGATGAAGRTGTGACAACTGTTGAAAGAGACAGAGAATGGAGGGTGACTAGGAAGAGTCCACCACTGTAGTGTGGTTTCAAGAAACCAGACTGAYTCAGAGTCTTCAAGTTAGAGGGCTTCCCCATCTTGTCAAATGGGTCTGGCTTCGTAGCCTGCAGTGGTCAGGCATAGTCTATGGGAAGCATGGCCTTGACACCAACACTGAGGTAGATCCAGAGGGAAGACCTGTGCCGCAGTCTGGCTGGGCACAAATCACGAGCCACTGAAGCAGGAACAAACTTTATTTCTAAACTCCACCAGCACACTCCACACACGCTCCCAGGAACTCTCCCGAATGCCACCCACGCGGCTCCTCCAGGAACCACCAACTGGAAATCCCTCCTCCGGCACTTCCCCAACCAATGCGAACTCTTCAGGAATCCCCATGAGAGCTCAACCAGAACTCAACAGGAACTCCGCGAGAACTCAAAAGTCATCATCTTAATGGCTAACTGGCGTCGCCTCTCAACCACTACTTCTGGCAAAAATGCCATGCGTCATCCCGATTCGATTCGGCTGTGGCCCTCAACAGACCTGGGTCTGTCAATCAATCATGGCACCTTCATGACTGCCATATGCACTCACCCTGTTCCCCTGTACCTGTTGCCCCAAGAAGTTCTATCTCCTATTCTATTTCCATTCCATTCTCCTGTTTCTAAATTCTCCATCTCTTTCTAACCACTCTGGTTACAACTCATTTAGATACTCTGGCTTCTGATTTGAGTTTTTCTCAAGTAAGTCTCCTAAAATGCTCCTTTCCTTTTCCTTCTTTCATGGATTATAGTTTTCAAACTAGGGAAAACCACTGCTCAAACACTGCACCCTTGTTGAGCTCAGAGCTCAGATCTTTTCTGGGAATATTTCAAACTAAGGTGAAGGCATTAGTAGAACATCTAAATTTAGTAAGACATCTACACTTTTTCCTTTCAGAAATATTCAAGTTACCCAGAGTCCCATTAATAAGGCTCTGAAGGAGACAGGAGCTACAAAAAATCATGTTAAATTATATTTAATAATCGAAATGCTATTTTAAAGGCATCCTCTGGCAGTTTGGGTGACCACATAGAACAGGATTCTAACTAACCATTGAAGGCACTCCATAGGTATCTGTTGAATGAACGAGTACTTTACAGTGGAAATATGAGGCCCAGGGAAAATAGTCATGTTCCTGGCAAATTTACCCTTCCCTGTCCCAAAGGAAGTTCACCCTTTTGTGAATCAACTTTTTGGCTGGTGGAAGGACCCTTTGTCTTTTCTCATTCGCTGTGAAGAGTCTGGTGATATGCGCATCAGTTGATCCTACTACTTGCATATTCTTTTTTTTTTAAGAGAGAGAGAGAGAATATTTTAATATTTATATTTTAGTTTTTGCCGGACACAACATCTTTGTATGTGGTGCTGAGGATCAAACCCGGGCTGCACATATGCCAGGCGAGCGTGCTACTGCTTGAGCCACATCCCCAGCCCCTTACTTGCATATTCTTATGAGTTTTATTATTTTATTTATTTATGTCTTAGTTGTATGACACAATACTCTTATTTTTATGTGGTGCTAAGGATTGAACCCAGTGCCTCGCACATGCCAGGCAAGTGCTCTGCTGCCTCCACAACCCCAGCTCTTCTCATGGGTTTTAGAAGACTTGTGTTCTTGATTCAGGAAAGAATGGTAGACCCTTTGGGATAGGAAACCAGAGAAGGTCTTCACAAGCCCCCTCTTTCTACCCATGACTCTCTGGGGTCAAGAGGATGATACCTTCACTCTGACTTTCAACAGGCTTTGTCTTCTGTTTTAAGATTCCTTGGCTGGGGTTGTGGCTCAGTGGTAGAGTGCTCGCTTAGCACGTGTGAGGCGCTGGGTTCAATCCTCAGCATCACCTAAAAATAGATAAAATAAGGTCATTGTATCAATCTACAACTAAATAAAAGATTCCTGAAAGGACCCAGAAAGACATGTCCCTTGCCAATTTTAAGACTTTAATGTTCTGTTATCTCTGTAGACTCTACTTCCAACCTGCTCACTCCCAGAAACCCCAATGGCTTTTTGTATATTATTTACATTTTCTTTAACCCAGAGATTGATGTTTCTGACTATTAATCCACAGGGTAAAGTGGCTGTTACAAGCAATCTCACACATTTCACCTTCTTCCCAGAATCTTCGGATAATACTTGCTTATTCAAGATGCCATTTTCTAGCATCCCCAGAAGAATATAGTCATCGCAGTCATGGATCAGATTGGTAGAATCATAGCCCAGTTCTACTTGCCCTTCTTTTAGCTGATTCCTCCTCTTTACTTTAGAGCCAGTCAGCACTTGAACTCGATACACTGTAGCAGGCCTGTCCAAAATCACAGTCACATGGCTGCCAGCCTTAACCTCTTTGCTATAAAAGAAATTTTTATCAAAGCTGTAGGCATTCATGAGGAGAGAGTTATTGATGACATTAAGGTTGGTATAAATGGTGGCAGCAGGGTTACTGGGAAGGCCAATGTCATCGTCCTCAAATTCTTTATCTTTGAGGATATTGAATTTGCCGTCAAAGGATGAGTAACTGCCCACATGCTGAAAAAGGGAGGGGGAAAATCGGATTGGTTTTTGCTGCATGCGAAGGTCACGAAAATGGGACAAAAGGTAGTCACAGGACCTTTCTTGGTAAAAGAGGAGAAGGAAACGAACAAAATAAGGGAGGTCTTTCGTGTGAAAGAGTTTTCCAATGAAGCCCAGCTGAGAGAACTCCAGAATCACCCAAAATTTCCTTTCCCAGGCAGAGAGTGTGGTGACAATCTGGGTGACAAATTCTGGGGCACATTTTACATCATCTTCAAGCATCAGGAAGTAGTCAGAGTGGTTGGTAGCAAAGTTCATGAGGAAGGCGTAATCCATGTTCTGCTTGGAGCGAAAAGCTACATAGGCAGAGGTGTCATTAAAGGTTTTCTTAAGGTTCTTCAAAGGATTATAGCTTTCAGGAGGAGTATTGATCACTACTAGCTGCCTGGCCTGGATATGTTGTTTAAAGAGGATGGAGATGCTGGAGGTCATTTTATCAAGCCATTTGGAGTCAGGATCTCCCAGGTGTACCACAACAATGAAGTATTTCTGCTCACTCAAGGAAGAAGCAAAGAAGAGGGAATGCAGGGTGTCCAAGAGGTAGCTCCCTTGGGGACGCTGCACTGAGGAAATTCCTATGGTCATCAGTTCTAGGATTGGGAGAAAAGAGGACCTTTATCAACTTAGAGAAATGTGGAAAGTAGTTGCTAGGGATGAGGTTATGATACACTCATAGATCTTCCTATAGGCCATCTTCATATGTATGTATGGTTGTTTAAGTTTTATCTTCCCCAGGACTGAATATGAATCATATTAGGAATTACTCTCTGATCAAAGGAGAACTTTTAAAAAAATTTTTTTTAATTATTACCTTTCTCAAATCATGTGGAAGGGAATGGATAAAGATGACATATTAAAATTTTTCTAGGAGCTTCATTCTAGAGGAAAAGACTATAGTCACCTGTTGTCTCCTGCTCCTCTCTGTTACCTGGAGTTCTTGGCTTCAGTTCTGTTCTTTCCAGCCCCAGGACTCACATCATGGACTTTCTCCTAGAAGAACTTCCGCTTTATTTATTTAGACAAAAATCCCTTAAAAGTTTAGCTTGAGAACAGATTTTCCACCACCAGCCCCTTGGTGGTTATTGACTCCGTGATTCATTTGTTCAAAGGCCAAATGCTCTAATAGATAAGTAAGATGGAGATTAGAAGGTGACCAGTGGGTACAACAATGTGGAAGCCATTAGTTACTTACCTGAACAAGAGTAATTTTAGTAAGGTGATGAGGGTAAAAAAAATGTGTGGTGTTAAAAGAGGTTTTCTCTCTTTCATCAAGATTAGAAAAATTGCCAGGTATGCTGGTGCATGCCTATAATCCCAGCAATTTGGGAAGCTGAGGCAGGAGGACTGCAAGTTCAAATCTAGCCTCAACAACTTAGCAAGGCTTTAAGCAACTTAGTGAGACTCTGTCTCTAAATAAAATATTAAAAAGGGCTGGGGATGTGGCTTGGTGGTTGTGTGCCTCTGGGTTCAATCCCCAGTACAAAAAAAAAAAAAGATTAGAAAAATCGTAGCATGTTTATATGATATAGGAGACAAAAAAGTTGATGGCTTAGGAGCCAGATGCAGTGGTGCATGTCTTTAATCCTAACAGTTTGGAAAGCTGAAGCAGAAGAACTGCAAGTTCAAAGCCAGCCTCAGCAACTTGGCAAGGCCCTAAACAACTCAGAGAGACCATGTATCAAATTTTTTTTTAAAAATGGTGGTGAGGGGTAAGGCTGGGGATGTGGTTTAGTGGCTGAGTGCCCCTGGGTTCAATCCCCAATACCAAAAAAAAAAAAAAAAAAAAAAAGGCCCAGAAAAGAGCAACTCATTGAAGTGATGTGCATGAGTAATTAAGGTGGAATCTAGTGAAAGTGGAGAGGCTACAACTAGACAGGACCATGGACAGTCCATCTATAGGAAGAAAGGGAACTTTGCTGATGACTGACCATGAATCCTAGAGAGCACAGTGGAAAGGTGTCAGAAGTCCAGGAGATAGGATCAGGAAAGAAGGTATAGAGGAGATTGTGGGGATGAAAACTAGCCTGCGTTTCTTGTAGAAACCTATTTAAACTGGAACATGCTTTTCTTAAAATAGTCTTGAAGTACTCCCACTTCCCTCTCCATGACAATATGGATTTATTAAATGAGATGGCAAATATGAAATGTTTTGACCCACGGTTTTATTTTAGGACTGGGTTATGATAGCAACATGCATATGCAGCCTCATTCTCATCTTCTTTGGTCAAAAATTTCCATGCAGTAGAGCAAGAAGCAGTTGCAACTCTGCTATTTGAATGTTTAAGTGCCTACTCTAAAGACCATTTTTTTTTCAGGCTTTGAGTTTCTTTCTTCAGATTTGGGACTTAAGGGCATTGGAACAGGTGGTAGTGTGATGTATTGGAAAGCTGATTATGTTCTTGGACCCAAAATGCTCTTTCTAATCCAGATTTATGTGAAATGAAGGGGTGGGGGATTATTTTACTAAACTCCTTATCCAACTCCCATGTGTTTCTAAATTGGCCCAAGACCCATAGGGAAGAGAGACATCTGGAAAAATGTTAAATGAAATCTAGCTCTCTACATTGTATGACAAAATACATACACTCAGGACATGGAAATATTGAGAAGATAGTAACAAAAAAAGATGTATTGTACAAATCTTGACAAATAGAACTTACCTATTTCAAAGTTATGCATGAAATAAATCTTTAGAAATGTAAGCAGTAATAATAGATCCATAATTACACTTAGAAACATTTTACCTGTGTCAGAAATCAAGAGAATAGCCTGGTGTGGTGGCACATGCCTGTAATCACAACGGCTCGGGAGGCTGAGGCAGGAGGATTGCAAGTTCAAAGCCAGCCTCAGCAATCTAGTGAGACCCCAAGTCACTTGGTGAGACCTTGTCTCTAAATAAAATCTAAAAAAGGGCTGGGGATGTGGGCTCAGTGGTTGATTGCACCTGGGTTCAATCCCTAGTTCCAAAAAAAAAAAAAGAAAAAGAAAAAGAAAAAAAAAGAAAAGAAAAGAAAGAAAGAAAGAAAGAAGAAAGAAATCAACAGACTAAACAAAAATGAAGATCAGGAGTTTTGAATAACATAATTAAAGAAATTCATGATTTATGTGTATGTGGTGTACTGCTTATCAGAGGATACATATATACTTTCAGATATACTTCAAAGATATTGACCATATATTAGACAATGAAGCCAATTTTATTTATAATTGTCCTGAAGATAGCAATTATATGGGTTATATTCTTTGACTACAATGCAGTAAAACTGAAAGTAATCATGGAAGTCTAACCAAAAACTTCCATTTGGAAATGGAAAACCACTGTTTTAAATCTCTAAGATTGATGAAGAAATCCAAATGGAAATTACCAGTTACTAGGAAGTAAATGGTATAAAACACCAGAGACCAAAACCTGTGGGAAATGGTTTAAAGTGGGACTTAGAGGAGACATAATAGCTTTCAATGTATTTGCTACAATGCAACACAAAGAATAAATGAAATGAGAAACAAAAGAACTAGGGCAAAAATAAAACTAAGGGAGGCACATGTAGAAGTAAGAAGGTCAAAGCAGAATGTAATTAATACAATAGATTAAAGGCTAAAGAAGAATAATAAAAGTTGGTTGTTAGACAAAAGATTAACTAAACTTAGAAAGAAAATACAAATAGTATTAAGAATGAAAATACATTGTAACTGGTGAAATGAAGAATTTAAAAAATAAGTATGTGTTAGGTTTTTGTGTCCCAAATGTCCAAACCAGAACAACTTAGAGGAGGAAAAGTTTATTTCAGACTCATGGTTTCAAAGGTTTCATCAGGATCGCTGAGTCCATTGCTCTAGGCCCAAGGTGAGGCAGAGGGCATATGGTGGAGGAAAGCTTCTTCCTTCATTGTAGACAGAAAGCAGAGAGACCAGGTAGGGGAGGAAGGGGCTCCAGGGAACATGAACCTGTTCAAGGCACTCCCCCTAGTGACCCACCTCCTGCAGCCAAGTCCTACCTGCCTACAGTTACCACCCCATCCATTTGAACTGGGAGGGACTGATTAGTTCATAGTTATCACAATCCAATTATTTCAACTCAGAGCATTTCTGCATTTAACACAGGTGCTTTTGGGGGACATCTTATAGCCAAACCATAACAAAGTACTAAAAAAAATTAGAAAAATGGACAAAATTGATGAATTGTCATGTCACAAAAGATAAAACATAAATGATCAATAGACAATTGCTCAACTGCCTTGGTAATCAGGGAAGAACAAATTAAAACCAAGGAATTTCAGAAATTGAAAAATCTGACAATGGTAACAGATGGCAAGGATACAGAACAACATGGATTTGTATCTTGATGGTGGGAATACAAACTGATAAGTCATTGAAAAAMTTATTTTTTTTCTGTGTTTTTTCTGTCTTTCTGTGTTTCCTAGACTGGCCTTGAACTCCTGAGCTTGAGTGACCACTTGCCTCAGGCTCCTGAGCAACTAAAAAAAAATCTTTAGTATGTCAGTTTATTTAAAGCATAATTGGCAGTAGAGAGTGAACCAGTGATAACTATGGTGGGTGTACTTTTGTTTTCTTTCTTTTTTTTTTTAAGAAAGAGGGAGAGTGAGAGAGAGAGAGAATTTTTTTTTAATATTTATTTTCCAGTTCTCGGCGGACATAACATCTTTTGTTTTTGTATGTGGTGCTGAGGATCGAACCCGGGCCCCACGCATGCCAGGCGAGTGTGCTACTGCTTGAGCCACATCCCCAGCCCCTACTTTTGTTTTCTTTTGGTAACCTATTTTAGGGAACAATTTGGCAAAAAAATCTAACAAAGATATGCCTATCTTGTGTTCTAGCAATTTCACTCCTAAGAATGTACCCTAGAGAATTTCTCACATGTGTTTATAAGGATTTGTGTGCAAAAATATTCGTAGCAACATTCTTAGTAGTAAAAACCTAGAAGTAACCTTAGTGTTCATCAGCAGAAGAATGGGTCAAAACATTGCAGTGACTCAAGGGTGAATGAACAATTGCAATATCTTGATTATATATATAGTATAATACAAATATGATATTAAGTGAAAGAAATCTTATATAACAGGGTACTGCAAATCCTATTATATATTCTATTAATAGGATTGTAAGTGAAAAAGAAGAGAAAGGAATATCACAAAATAATACTAAATGAAAAAAGAAAGTTCTGGAAAAAACACATACACTTTTGTTTTTAGGTACTGGGGATTAAACTCAGGGTCACTCAACCACGGAGCCACATCCCCAGCCCTATTTTATACTTTATTTAGAGACAGGTCTCACTGACTTGCTTAGTGCCATGCTTTTGCTGAGGCTGGCTTTGAACTAGTGATCCTGTCTCAGCCTTTCAAGCCACTGGGATTTAAGGCTTTTGCCATTGGGCCTGGAGGATAACACTTTTTTTTTTTTTTATGTTGCAG